TGTCCTCTATCAAGTGTTTATATAGATCATTGCTGGGCGAAACTTCGTCTAAAATATATGCGCCTCCTTAGCGTTACGCACCATTATAACCAATTCCAGTTCTGCTGGAAAGAAGAAACCTTTGATGTTGCCCTTGTTACTGAACCCATAATGGAATGCTTGACGTTATCGAGGTCTGGTCAAGGACTGGGCCGCGGGAGCGTTGACTCCCAGAACACCCTCCCAGTATTCTCATCGCCCTACTGAAGTCTCCCGGCTAAGGCTGACGGATTTCATTACTTGATGTACAAAACTCATTCTATTTAATGGAATCTGACAGGGAAATATAGCTAACTTTTGTTCCCACTATGCTACTACCATATAGAGTAACTATCATACCTGGGGAAAAGTAAGCTTGTGTGCAGTTCAGAACATTTTTAATTGGTAACGTTTCGCCACGAATGGATTCTTCGGTCCTAATATCATACCTGGAGTCTATTTGGAGTTGGTTCAAAGGGTCAGTGGCCTCGCTTTCCCGGTCCCCGACCAGACCTCCCGGTGGATCAAGTCCTTATCAGCCAGGCTGTTATTGCTGGTTGCACGCAGCCTAATGGACGAGCCACAGCTCGGCTAATGAGGGACTGACTTTAGAAACCTAACCAGTTCCCTCTTGAAAATAACAAAGGGTCTGTTTGTAATCTTGGTGAGTGATTTCTGTATGTAGATTTGGGACCAATCCTTCTAAGATTTTCCAAGTGTAAATTATAATGCATCTTTCTCGCCTTCGTTTCAAAGAGTACAAGTCAAGGAACTTCAAATGATCCCAGTAATTAAGGTGCTGGACTGAACTTATACATGCAGTGCAGGTTCTCTCTTCATTCTCTAGATCCGCAGTTTCACTCGCCTTGAGAAGGAGCCGTTAGCGTACAGCAATATCCTAGACTAGAGAGAACAATTGACTTAAAAAATATCATTATTGGCTCGACATCCCTTGTTTTGAAGGTTCTCATTATCCAACCAATTATTTTCGTTGCGGTTGTAATAATGACACTGTTGTGATCCTTGAATGAAGATCCTCTGACATTATGAAACCTAAGTCTTTCACGTTCGTTTTTCACTTTACTGAGTGGTCAGAATTTATTTTATACATCATTGTAGCTTTTATTCCCTCAAGTTCTGCAACGTACTAATTGAAATTTGTCCTAATTGAACATTTTTTATTTTTGTCTTTGGCTCACTGGAAGATTTAGTTTATATTAGCTTAGAGACTTGCACTCTCCTCAACAGATGTCTCTCTCGCAAATTCTAGTATCGTCTGCAATGGATGATATAGTTCTGTGATTTATGTCTCTGATACGAGGATGCGGAGTAACTAGCATAAAGATAAGTTAAACGATGCTGAGGCACATACTTTTTTAATGGCCATAATAAATTGTTATCCTCTTCTTACTTGTCTCATCTCCTCATCCTCTTTCGTCTCCTCTATATTTTTATTCTTCTTCTTCTCCCACCCTTCTTCTCCCACCCTTCTTCTCCCACCCTTTTTCTCCCACCCTTCTTCTTCTCCCACTCTTCTTCTTCTTCTTCTATTTATCCTACCCTTCTTTTTCTCCTCCCATTCTTCTTCTTCTCCCACTCTTCTTCTTCTTCTTCTCCCACCTTCGTTCTCCTCCTCCTCCAAGCTTCTCATTATGTTGACCAATAGCCCATCTCCAGTCCTCCTTGACGACCTCTCTCTTCCTCTCAACCTGCTTTACCCTTTCTACCTTGACTCCTTTTTTTCCTATTCTTTTCCCTCACTTCTTTCTTCCCAGGATTACTCTCTTCATTCGGCCTTCTTAACCATCTTCTCCCAAATTCTTACGGCTTATTTTTTTCCACTATACTTCCCTTATTTTTACTTTACGTTTGCCTATCCGTTCTATATTTTTCTCTTCTCCCATGTTCTCTTCTTCCCTCCTCCCTCTTGGATTATTATATCCCCTTCCCATTTTCTTCATTTCCGTGTCCCCTTTTACTTCTTCTCTTCACCCTTATTTTATTTCCTCTTAAACGAATTTCTCGTTTTCTATTCTCCCTTAATTATCCTCCATTATCTTCTCTTATACCTTGTTCCTCCATTATCTTCTCTTATACCTTGTTCCTCCATTATTTTCTCTTATACCTTATTCCTCCATTATCTTCTCTTATACCTTGTTCCTCCATTATCTTCTCTTATACCTTATTCCTCCATTATCTTCTCTTATACCTTGTTCCTCCAGTCTTTATTTACTCCTCACCTGGACAATATTGGCCATAGGAAAACAAATACAGTTATTGATCCTGGGGGACACTTTATTCATCAGTTCATGTATTATGAGAACGTTTCGCTCACGTAGTCATGTTGTATATCAATGGCATACAATACCGACAAGATGATGAATTGTAGTCATGTGCAACATCTGGGCATCCAGATGTTGCACATGTCTCCACATATTGCACATGTATCTACATACCTAGATGCTGCACATGTGTCTTAATGCATTCTTTATCAAGTCGGGCCACCAACAGCAACAGCCTGGTTGAGTAGGCAAGCACCAGAGAAGCCTGGCCCATGGCCGGGCTCCAGGAGTAGAAAGACTCTTGGAACTCATCAAAGGTAAAGGTATGTATTGAGAGAGTTTCGCTCAAAGAGAGCCTCATTAAGTGGTTATTGAATTCTCGAACGAAACGTTGTCTCACTTAGGGTTTTCTCAGGTCCGAGATTCCATGTAATACCTATATTTATCGACAGTGTATTCTAAGCTTGATTGTTGACGGTGTCTGCTTGAGATGGTCGCGTCTGATACCAGAGTTCCTACAATCGTTCCTCTTTTTTTTGGGGGGGTTGTCGTTCTTGATCCCTATTTTTATTGTCTTCTCTCTTTCATTTATCCACGCTTGTTCCGTTTTTGCTGTCTTCTCTTTAAATAGATGTTCCACTTTTACCAAGTTTCACTTTTCCTGGCTCTTCCAACTTTCATAACATGTTCCACTTTCATAAGTTTAACATTAAAAAAATACTCTTTGTTTCATCTGAGAGTTAACTTTAGTGATGTTCTGTTCCTGCAGACATGAGACTGAATGTCTGTTGACGATGTCTCTCAAACAGTGGAAATATGACATAGTTATATGAGCCACGCTCAGTGGCTGCCCGTTTTCTGTTCATCCAGCGGAATGTTTTATCGCCTTTTGTTTTATAGTTCTTCCTTTGTAACCTAACTTAGCCTGAACTGACCTGACATGCCTAACCTTATCTAACCTGCTAAACTTAGAAATGGGCTCCAAACCATTTATGAAAGTGTGACAGTTCTTAGGAAAAGGTATACACAACCTCTCTTGCCAGTCTGCCCTTCCTTGTTTGTCGTTACCATTGAGTATCTGGTATCTGGTATCTGGTTCCGTAATCGTTACAGTGCCAAGTGTGTGATCCTTGTCTAGACTGCTTCCTATTCTTCTCATGTCCTTGAGGTTTCACTGGCTCCTTGCCAACAGTACCACTCCCCCGACATATCTGTTTCATTGTTCATTGCTTAGTATTTGGTACCCATGTGGGAGTACTGCAGTTTGATATTATCTTAGTTTTTCTCTGTGATGGCTATGATGCCTGCCAAAAACTTTGCTACTCGTTTTATTTCAATGATCTTCGTGATTTCAACTGCATCTGCATGGATGTGTGTGTGTGTCTGTAATTATAAATTTATAATTACATATAAGTTAGTACAGAAGCAGAACTGAGTCGTTTGTGTTCCACATCATTGATATTTTATTTTACCTATATATATTTTTTTTAAATATCCATTGATATTCATTATGTGTTTGCACACGTTTGCGTGAAATGAAGCATATTTGAGGATATTTGTATACAGGGAGCTCCTTAATGCATATTTGCTTGCGTACGTGTAAGATTATATTGAATGCAAATATGGCCTACACATATTTGTGATAGAGGATTGTGCAGGGGATAACATACACGAACCTGTGTCTAGAAACCAGTCTTGACCTGTCTAGAGTACCTGACTCGAATCAAATCGAATCGTGTAAAGAACCTTTTGAGAGTGATCGTTGAAATGACGAGAGGCAAAATCTTGGTGAGAAGTGTCTTGAAATGGAGAGAAGTGACAAGGCTTGACCCACTTCCTGGACGAATTGATGGCAAGTTGAGGGCGAGTGGGCAGGAAAGGCAGGTTGACGTTGCTCCTCTGTATTACCATGATTGTTGAAAGTTTCCTGCCTGCATGACACTCGTGGGCAGAGCAGTGTGTATGATGTTGGTGCTTCGCTGCCGAGAGCAAGCTGACGTCATAACGCATTAGAGATTAGACTACGATACCTGTCCAGCTACGCTTCCCTTCACGGCCACCTGCCACAGGTGTACCAGGTGAATCTATGAAGTTTCTTTTACCTGTAATTACCTGGCTGGGCTTTGGTTGAGTCTTATTTGGTCCTCTGGTTATTGCTTTGATGTTCACTGGTTTCATATTATACTACATTCACTTGGCAGAATTAAAACCAATAGGGGTTTTAGAACGTTCGAGGGAACGAGAGGCATTTAGGTTCGATCTAAAAAAATGGAAGGGCAGATCCAATTCCTTAACTCAAGAGCCCCCCCTCACCAGCATCAAGGAACCTCCCTTCAAGATTCGCTCGCTTACTATAGGGAAAATAGTTAACCAAAACTATGGAAATTCTTTACTAAGGTATGTAAATTAAGTTATTTGATGCTACGTAAATCTTAGAAAGGTCAACTCAGGTTTCTAATTGCTATTAAGGCACAACATTTTTTACAAGTTTGGTTCATTGTTTTCCTCAGGAGGAAAAGACAGTGAATCATCAGGTGATCCATTAACAACTTCTGGCTAATGGAAATGGTCTTTTATTGCTATACTCTATTGCCATTTAAAGCTTGCTAGGGTACACTTTTTAGTGTGATAGGGTGTATAATTTTAGTGTGGCAGGGTTTATCTTTCATTGTGAACTGACCCTGTAATCTTCTCCCGCAGGCACGTCGAGCCAGCCACCCGGGCATCATCAACATCACTCTATATGGGAGAGAGCCCAGCCGGCCACAGTAGACCCTACTTTCACAGAGGCCGTGGCCAACCAGACTGTTGTAGTTGGCCGTGACGGCACGCTCCGGTGCTCCGTAGAGAACCTCGGTAACTTTAAGGTAAGCCACCTTCCACTGTTACTAGTTTACTAAAAAACCATACCCCGGCCGGGATTGAACCCGCATTTGTGGTCACAGTGGTGCCTATGCTAACCTTCTATGGTGTAGAAATATACCTAGTTGGACGAATCTTATTGTGGCTAGCTGGTCTAGTGGCTAACGCGACGGTCTGGAGTTTCGAGACTCTCTGACCGCGGGTTCAATCCCAGCCGGGGTATGGTTTGTTTGCAATCGTGTCAATACGATTTCGTGAGTCATGTTACTAAAAATTTTTTTTAATATCATTACGATTTCTTTTAGTTTCATTAGAAAACAATGGGTTGTATTCAGAGTAGCGCTGAGTCTGCAAGAGTCATTCTGCACAATCTATTACATTTGTAATTTTCTTCTGGCTGCTGTTGGTCCCATATTTTTCCAAGGCTGACACTTTTATATTTATTGTCTCTAATGGTCCTTGCTGGTTTTTCCTGGTACACTCAGTGGTCGATATAAATCATCGACGCCAGCAGAGGCAATCTTTCGCCTCCCTGTTTTGTCCTTGATGTTGCATTAATGTAGGTATATAACTGTTATAAAGTAAAGCAAAGAGTTTGGATCTCGCAAGTGCTCTGTGATGTTTTGTTTCAGACTGTAGTGAAGCATTAGTGCTTTTGGTTCGTGCAGAGGTGCGATCATAGTGATGTGATTTTGAATAAATGTAAAATGATCTTTCTGTCGATATCACAAAGTGATATATTTTACTCGTTCTGTAAAAAAAGAAAAACGTGAAATAAATCATTCGTCTGGTAAAAATGGTGTCATGATTGTTTATTTGATTCATACATGAATGATAATGTTTTTTTGTGGTTTTTATATTAAGTGAGTTTATTCTAAACTGAACTCGCAGTTATTTTTTTTAATTATGGTACATTTTGATCATATATATTGGTGAACTGACGGTAGATTACTGTACAGGACACATCCCAGCTTTAAAGAAACACTGAAATGGCTCCACTCTACACAAAGCTACAGGAGCCTAGTAGCATGGAATTTAGCAAGCTTTCTTGGAGGCTGGTTAAATATCTCGGGTTTGATCCCCGGCTGGTCGCAGTATAATATATTTTTTTTTAATAAGACATGGCCGTTTCCCACCAAGGCAGGGTGGCTCGAAGAAGAAAAACTTTCATCATCATTCATTCCATCACTGTCTTGCCAGAAGCGTGCTCGCACTACAGTTATAAAACTGCAACATTAATACGTCTCCTTTAGGGTTCAGGCACTGTACTTCCACATTATATATATATATATATTTTTTAACCACGAACAAGTGGTATTTAATCAATGAGAAAATGCAGCTAGCCGGAGGAGCCGGAGGAGCCGGAGGACCGAACCTGTGTTGTTTTAGCCCGCCTGGTTTAGAGCTTCGTGAGTTTTCGCTCTCTTCCCACGAGGCATTTTAAAATAACATGGGTCGATCCTCTGTTATTGATATATATATACACACTGGACCCTTGGATATCGGCCGTTCCAGATATCAGCCAATTCGGATTTTGTCCGCTTTTTTGGCCGAAATTCTATCCTGTATTTCGGCAAGCAACTTGAAAATTGGCCATATTGGACGTGTCCACCCGCCACTCTGCTGTGTTTGTGAGTCAGTCTGGCTGCGTCTTTGGGTGAATGAGCAAGAGTCCTTGACCCTGTCAACCCTCTAGTCTACCTGTTTTGGACTGTGTTGTGGCTTTGAGGAAGTCCATGGGGTTGGATGTGAGTGGACAGGATGTGGAAGAGTTGGAGGAGGATCACAGGGAACAGCAACTACTGAAGAGCTGCAAGACCTTCATCTTCAACAGCAACAGACCACAGCTGAAGATATTGCTTCAGAGGAGGAGGAAGAGAGAGGGGAGAATCTGCCTTCTTCAGTGATTAAGAACATGTGTTCAAAGTGGAGTGAGTTGCAAAGTTTCGTGGAGAAATATCACCCTGACCAAGCTCAAACAAGCCGTACCTGCAACATATTCAGTGACAAAAACTTTGTCCCACTTCAGGCAAATCTTAAAGAGATGCCAGAAGCAGTTTTTTTATGTGACATTATTTTGTGTGGCAGGGGTGCAGTGATTCTCAAGCTGGTCCTAGTGCCAGTAAAAGACAAAGAAAGGAAGCAACTATGAATAGAGACTTGATAACTTATGGAGGGGGATTTCCCTTCCTAACAATAACCCCCAACTCCCTCTCCCTTCCTCGCCTTCTTCAATATGCCAACAAGAGTCTTCAATAAAGGTATGTAATGTTCATTTATGAAAATTAGTGCTTTATATTTCTTTCTCATTGTTTTGTGCATGTAAAACTAAAGTTAATCTTTAAAAATGTATCTTTTCTTAATATTTTTGGGTGTATGGAACAGATTAATTGGATTTACATTAATTCTTATGTGAAATATTATTTCGGTTTTCGGCCTTTTTGGATTTAGGCCGACCTTCTGGAACAGATTATGGCCGATAACCGAGGGTCCACTGTACTTTTGACAACACTGCTACACTTCAGACTTATTTATAATCATCCCATTCAGCCTTCCATGAAGACACTTATCAGATTCAAACCCATCCTTACACGAAATACACATTATTCACCATTAACTGCTTCACAAAGACACATATATAATCATCACATTTCATTTCACGACTTTGAAATCATTTCCCTTTGAAAATCATTACTTAGCTACTTCTTTACCCAGAAAAATCATTACATATTTTCATTACCCATGAAATTATTTAAATATTAAAAGATTTTTTTCTTTATGCTTTCTTCTAACACCACATTTTGATGTAGAGGAAGTCACACTATTTCTAACTATATTACTGGGAGAAAAAATGTTAATGCTGGGAGTTATGGACATAAGCGGAATTTTGAAGTACAGTGGAACCCCCAGATTTTGTACACACTGGATATCGGACGTTTCGGATTTAGAACACTTTTGGGGGGAAATTTTTGCTCCGGATTTTGTGCTTTGTCCCGGGAATCGTATGTATCAGACACGTTTGCCCGCCGGGACACCACCTCAGTCTGGCTTTGTCACTGGTTGAGTGAATATTCATCTGAAACATATCACAATTTTTGTGCTTGTTTATTGATTGTGACTGAAATAAGCCCCCATGGGCCCAAAGAAAGTTCCAAGTTCCAGCCCTTTGGTAAGGAAAGTGAGAAACATGACAGAACTGAAGAAAGAGATTGTATAAAAATACGAAAGTGGTGTACGTTTAGTCGAGTTTGCAAGGATGTATGGGAAGTCGAAATCAACAATCTGTTCCATCCTGGCAAAGAAAGTAGAAATCAAGGAAGCTAAAGTTGCAAAAAGGGGAATATGCTAACGAAACAGAGATCACAAAGAACCGAAGATGTGGAGAAGTTGTTGTTGGTAGTATGGATCAACGAAAAACAGTTAGCAGGAGATCCTTTGTGAAAAGGTAAGGCAGTTGCATACGGATCTCGTGTGTGATGAATGGTTTGAAAAACCGACAAGTTGAAGATTGAGACACTTATGCAGCATATGGGAATCTTTATTCAGGAAACGTTTCGCCACACAGTGGCTTCATCAGTCCAATACAAAGAGGAAGGCGTAAGGAGAGGAGGAGAATGAGGTAATCAGTCCCTCAACCTGGAGTCGACTCCAGGTTGAGGGACTGATTACCTCATTCTCCTCCTCTCCTTACGCCTTCCTCTTTGTATTGGACTGATGAAGCCACTGTGTGGCGAAACGTTTCCTGAATAAAGATTCCCATATGCTGCATAAGTGTCTCAATCTTCATACGGATCTCGTAATGAAAATGCTGTTGTTAGTAAATTTAAGGCCAGCAGAGGCTGGTTCGACAGATTCAAGAAGCGTAATGGCATACACAGTGTTGTAAGGCATGGTGAGGGTGCAAGTTCAGACAAACGTGGGGTCAAAGAGTTCGTTGATGAATTCAAGGAGTATGTAGAGGCTGAAGAACTACTCCCCCAACAAGTGTTCAGTTGTCACGAAATAGGCCTCTTTTGGAAGAAAATGCCAAAGAGGACCTACATTATGCAGGAGGAAAAGACACTGCCATGACTCAAACCTATGAATAGACTAACTCTTTTGTTTTGTGGTAATGCTAGTGGGGATTTCAAAGTAAAGCCTTTACTGGTGTATCACTCTGAAAATCCCTGACAGGGAGTGACTTCCAGGATTTTAAACTCTGCTTGGAGAAAATTGTGGCCAGAATGTGTCCTCGACAAGGATTTTGAAGGGTTTGAGGCTGACCCTGACGATCCTACGCCTGTTGTAGGATCTATTGTGTCCTCGGAGATGTGGAAGAGTTGGTGGAGGACCACAGGGAAAAGCTAACCACTGAAGAGCTGCAAGACCTTCAACTGGAATAGCAACAGACCACAGCTGAGAAAATTACTTCAGAGGAGGAGGAGGAGGAGGAAGAGAGAGGGGAGAAGGTGCATTCTTCAGTGATTAAGGACATTTGTGCCAAGTGGAATGAGGTGCAAACTTTTGCTGAAAAATATCACCCTGACCAAGCTACTACAAGCCGTATTCGCAACATGTTCAGTGACAATACCTTGTCACAGTTTAGGCAAATCTTAAAGAGATGCCAGAAACAGAGCTCTCTGGACAGAGTTTTAGTGCAACAGAGGTCCAGTGCCAGTAAAAGACAAAGAAGGGAAGTAAATCCAGAGAGGGCTTTGATACCTGAATTCGTTATGGAGGGGGATTCCCCTGCAAAACTACCTCAATTCTCTCTCCCCTCCTCTCCATCTTCAATAAGCCAACAAGAGTCTTCAATATAGGTATGTAATGTTCATTTACCATTAAAATTAGTGCTTTATATTTATTTCTCATTGTTTTCTGTGTGTAAAACTATAGTTATTCTCTAAAAAATGAATAGTTTGTGAATATTTTTGGGCGACTGGAACGGGTTAATTGGATTTACATTATTTCTTATGGGAAATATTACCTCGATTTTCGTATGTTTCGGATTTAGAAAAACCTTCTG